ATGCTTACCCCCTCATGTAAGCGAAGGTGGAAATCATGACGTTAGATGAAATTTCAAATAGCCCTTTGTTTCTTCCTCAAGTGTATGCCAAATATGTAATTCGCCGAAGTTTCTAGAGTTTCCAGAAGAACAAACGAAATGCGTAACAAAACTTAAGTTACGAAAGCAAAACTATTACCAAATTTTTTACAAAGCTGAAGAGTTTATGCATAAGACAATAATCATAAGCGACGATTTCCAAATCTCAAATTGAAATTGTTCGGGATATAGTAATTATCCATAGCTAATTTTCATCAAATTCAAGCAATTTCTAGGTACAAGAATGTATTGCAAACTACCTCGATGGAGGCTATATGCGCTGTCTATGGTGTCTAGGACAAATGATGGCATTAGCCCTTACGATAGGTAAGTAAAATCCAAACACGACAACACCCTCCTCTCCACCCCCTCTTCTTCCCATCCCCCACCTCTTTCGCCTCACAAATAAACTCTTTTCTTACAGGAACATGTCTCTGCGTTGCTCGTCCGCATCCGCTACTGCTTTGGCCGCAGCTGATCATCCAGAACTCGTACTGCTTTGGCTTGGTGATTCTGACTATAGCCACAGCTGACAAGCTGCTCGTCTCAATTCTGCACCCTACGAATCCGCACCTCAGTCTGCTGATTCTTTATTTCGGCATAGGTACCTGTACGAATCACATTTTCGACTATATTCTCTGGCATTATTACTGGCACGAGGAGTTCCAGTATATTAGCCGAACAGGCAAACATGTGATTCCTTTTTGGGTTTGATCCAAACCCATCGCTTGATTTCGCTCTCTTTGCATAGAATTTCGTAGAGCAGCCTAGCCTAGGTTGAATTGTATCTGTATATTTTTTCCATAATTGTTTCAACGCACAGCATTTACCTCTAACTCGGTCAGCCCTCACATTATGATCTCTACGATTGTGCTAAGCTCAAAAATTTATATCGAATTCAATCTGCTTGTTTTTTTACTTGTTATACAGTGCCTTCCAATAAAGCCATTTTGAATTTAAACACTGGTTTTTTGATGAAAGGAGCATCAATGAGTATCAGGGGTTGTTTGTATATAATACTTGCTGTGAGACTATGCGCGTTGCACATCAGATCATCGCAAAAAACAATTATTGTTTATTTTATGGAAAATGTGCTCACAAAAAAACAAAATGCCAAACAATCTCTGTAGCTGCTCCTAAAGTTAAGAATATCACTGTAAAAAAACTAGCAGTACGTATGCTTTACGTTACAAATAAGTGAAAAACCAGCAAGGTTTATGTTTTGACATCCACTTCAATTCTCTTAAAAGAATAGATTCGTTAATAGACCCAACGAACATGGCATCGAAGGAGACCATAGCTAGAGTTCCCATAAAATTGCTGTACAGCCATTATGTAAACGTGCAATCTAAAAGACTCCGCTACTCTAGCACAAATCTAAAAACTAGATTATCGCCCAACATTTTGCCCAACAATGATTATTAATCAAATTACAATCTATGCATTTTTCACCTCTCTTCAACGCTCATGTCTCGTAAAAAATTTTCCATGTGCATCCGAAGTTGTCCAAGGCTCTCATTCAACATCTCTACCATGCACAAGACTCCAGTGATTCCCAACAAATTTCCGAAATTTTCAGGACCTTCCAAAGGAATAGAACTAATATGGCCTAAGACGCTCAAACATACCAATAGCCTCTAAGGTTAAATCATTTTGCATTATTTTCGCAAAAAAATTCGAATCTTAGTCGTTACAATGTTTCACGTTTCCGCGATTTTCTCACTGTCAGGCGCTTTATGTAACTAAAGCAGTGTTGAAAATTTCAAAAAAATGATCCAAAATCCTAATCAATTCATATGTAACAAAGGTCTATTCTGCCTTACTGAGCTAATTTACAAAGATAGGAAATTTTGGAGATTAGGAAAAGCTGAGATTGTAGTTAGCTTCCTTTTTGGAATTGCCTAGAGCGCAAGTTCTGAAAGAGAGAGGGAGCTAACCAACGGAGGTGACTATGGAACATGATGAGGAGAACAAGAGCTTATCAGATAAAAAACCATACACAGAAAAGAAAGACTAACATAAACCGTCCTACATAACTTAGGACAAGAGTGTGAGATAAAAAGCAATCATTTCAACACGGACCCCGATCCGATCCGACCATAACAGCCAGGGTTATTTATACATCTAAAAATTAGTCGGGACCATTTGCCAACAATACAATACAGTACAACATTGTCACTGGAAGCAATATCAAAAACTATATTTGGCTCTGAATGCACTTGTAATGCGACAAACCCGCTGCAACCGTCTGATATCCAGGAGCAC